TGATGAGATTGACAAAGGAAAAATAAATTGAGAAATAGATATATATATATATATATATATAAGGAGACAGCCAAATTGCAACGGCTCTCTCACCTAGTGCCGACATGTGGCATGGGCAACAGACAAACCCATCAGAGCTGGTTCTATCGCGGATCCCAATGTTTTCTCATGCACATGGGCTCTGCCACCTCAGCGTGGGCTCCACTAAATAGTTTTGGATATAGGCAATAAGTGAACTAGTATTTGAGTCCAAATTTGGGTTTTTCCAAATTTTGGGTCCTTCATTTTCTTGGGTTGAGAGAGGTTCTGGGGGATATTTTGGGTTTAGGTCATTGGGTTGGAGATGACCTTACCAGAAATAAGGGAAACCATGAATCAAAAAACTTAATAATAGGGGAATGAAGGAGTTAGAATTGTTGATCACATTCCTGACTTTGAGAGTAATTAATTACAGATTTTAAAGTAAAATCCACAAATTTTTTTATTTCTTATATGTTAGTATACACAAGAACACTTAGGAATTGAAATATTTTCAATACCTATTGTTTGTAAGCATAGTAAAACTATGAATTGAAATAATTTCAATATCCATTGCTAAGAGATGCCAGCCTGTTTCATGAACAGTGAAATTTTGTCCCTAAAACTGCGAAACGGGTCCTGCTGGCGGTGAATGACCCGACCCATTTCACATTTATGAAAGTCAAGACCGTAGCAGTTGGATAGTAAATTTCCCTTTTACAAGTGCCCAAAGCCATTAACAACGTGTCACTCTCACTGCGCAAAAATCCCAATAAGATAAAGTCCATCGCAGATTTATCAGATCAGAGTTTTTCGAACTCTCCAAAATACCCACACTGCAGTTCCCATACTCCCACCCTATCCACCGAACAGTCCCCGTCATTTCAGTCAAACCTCAGGTCCTATTTCGTCAACCCGAAAAAAACCCACCCTTCAACTCTCCCCTAACTCCACCCAAACCAAAGAGAGCTGAAAAGGAAAGAGAAGAGAGAGAGAGAGAGAGAGATAGAGTGAAGAGAGAGAGAGAGAGAGTGAAATGGAGTTCCATTTCAACACAAGCAGAGCGGAAGCGGAGCGGTGGCTGAGCACGGCGGTCAAGCTACTGACGACACGTGACCTGCACGGGACCAAGAGCTTCGCGATCCGAGCCCGAGAGTCCGACCCGAGATTGGAGGCCACCGAGCAAATAATCGCCGTTGCCGACACGCTTCTCGCCGGCGACTCCCGGATCAGCGGCCACAGCCAGCAGCCCGACTGGTACGCGATCCTGCAACTCACCCACTACACTCAGAACCTCGAACTCGTTGCGACTCAGTACCGCCGACTCGCTCTCCTGCTCAACCCGCACCGGAACCGCTTCCCGTACGCCGATCACGCCTTCCGGCTCGTCTCCGAGGCCTGGAACGTCCTCTCTAACCCTTCCAAAAAGGCCCTCTATGACCACGAGTTGAGCATGTTCAACCGGTTCGACTCGGCCCCCTCCGGGTCGACTCAGTTGTTCGAGAGGCAATTCTTGCAAATGCATAATGTGCAACAGCAAGCACCGCAGCCGCCGCAACCGCCACCACCGCCACCACCGCAACCACAAACACTACATTTCCAGCCTCCACCACCACCATCACAAGAAGTACAGAGAGCACAACATCAATTTCATCTACATCAATTAAGACAAGAGCAGCAGCAGCAGCAGCAGCAGCAGCAGCAGCAACAGCAGCAACAACAGCAACAACAGCTTCAACAACCACCACAGCAGCAGCACCAGCAGCAGCACCAGCAACAGCCACCACAGCAGCCGGAGCCGCAGCAGCAGCAACCGGTGAGGAAAAGCCCTAGGAGTAAGGATGGAAGAGTGGCGATGGAGGAGGAAAGGCCGAGTCTTAACAATGTGACCGAGTCGACTGCTCCTCCCTCAGAGTCAACTCGCCCTGTTGAGGCATCTCCCCCTTCTGAGTCGACTCGACCGGAATCGGAGCCCCGAACGGAGAGTTTCTGGACTGCATGTCCCTACTGTTATAATCTCTTTGAGTATCCGAGCGTTTACGAGGATTGCATGCTTCGGTGTCAAAATTGCAAGAGGGCGTTCAATGCGGTGGTGATAGAGGCACCGCCTGTGACGGGGAGTGACGGTGAGGTCAACTTCTGCTGTTGGGGGTATTTCCCGTTGGGGTTTGCCGAGAATGGTAAAGATACAGGCGGGTCAGCTGAGTGGACGCCGTTTTCGACCATGTTTGCTTGTCCAATACAAGGGAAGAAGAAGAATGCTGGACGAACTAAGAAAGCTAATTCAGGGCCGAGGGTCTATATTGACGATGATGAGGCGTTGTTTGATATTTCGGATTCTAGTGAGGAATCTGACGATGAGTGGCAGACGGATAGGAGGAAAAAGAGGGCAGTGAAAGCAAAAGGTAAAGCTTCAGTGGCTAAAACTCCAGTGAGGGCTTCGGATAGAATAAGGAAGGGTAATCAAAATGTGGGTGGGCAGGGGAAGGTAGGAAGTGGTGGGAGTTTGGGTGTTGGGTCTCTGTCGAAGCCGGAGTCGAGTAAGAAGTCGAGTTCTAGTGCAAGAAAGAGAGGTGCAGCTGCTTTGGGGAAGTTGGATTTGAATGTGGAGTTCAGTAATAATGAAGTGGAAGAGCCTGCAGCTCAGACAATGAGTGAAGGGAATGGGACTGCAAACGGGGAGGAGGATAACATTGAAGGGATTGGGTTTTTTGAGGGTCTTGATGAGTTTTTGAGTAGTCTGCCCATACTTAATGTTGTGGGTGATGACAAGGTTAAGGCTAATTAGTGAAGTAAGGGTAAGACTCTTTCCTTTTGGTTTTTGCTGCTTCAGCTGTTGTACTTGCTCTATGGATGCATGTTGTATTGAATGATGTAGAGCTTCTAGGCATTTTGTTTCATGGCTCTCACGCTTTGGATCTGTTACATAATCTGCAGCAATGTAAACTTAATTCAGCTTGTAGCTTTTAAAAATGTTAGTCTGATTTCTGTAGATTATCTTACGGTGTTAGCATTAATGGCTAAAATTTGGACTAACATGGGGAATCAGTTCTGGTGATAATCTCATTTTTCCCCTCTGTTGAAGTTAAGAAATTTTGGTATACTATAATGTAGAGGTTTCTTCGTGAATCATGGTTGAAGCTTGGTTTTAGGGTTTGTTTGGAGACCATTACATTTCTTGATGTTAGTATGTTATAATTATTTTATATTCTCTGGGATTAGAATGGGAATGTAACATGTGGGCTTTGATTGTTTCACTCACTTGATAGATGAAATCCATCAAGTTCTCGATTTGGATTGCTTTATATACCAATTTAGGCTCAACCCAGTTGTATTTTAAAAACCCATATCCTATATTTCACAAATGGCTCAGGATCAACTATAATATTGTAGCATAAAAGGTAGCAATAGCTAATGGAAGAAAGCAACACAAGGAGCAAGCTCAAGGATATCTGTGTGTATTGGGAAAGCAACTTCGGACACAGAAAAGTCTTCGGTGACGCTGCTCTTGAGTTCAGCAATAAACTGGTGATTCAGACGGATATGAATTAGAGGAATTTTCACAATTATAAAGAGGAGGGTTTGAGGGGTGGAGAATCTTTGAGAGACGATGAGATTCCTATGGCATTGCTTTCTATTTAGGGGTCTTTGTCTTTCCACTATTATCCTAGTTTGGAAAACAGCTGCAGGTTAATTTCTTAATTTGTTTGCTGAAGTTTTTGTTTTTGCTTTTATCTTATGGATAGGTTTATATATATATATATATATATGTATATTAATATACTTTTAGGAAGCTTTTTTTAATAAAACACATTTTTTA